CTTTTTTCTGCTTTTTAATACCACTAACAAAGTTGTGTGGAAAAAAAAAGTTAGAGATGATATTTTCAACTTTATTGATGGAATATTGGCAACACTAATTGTTTGTCAAATTTTAGCAGCAATGCCGGAATCCGAATGTCCTGGATTTGAACCACAAACCTACCTAAAAGATAGATGTAAAAAATGTTTTCGGTTAAAATCAAAACATCCAGACGCCTCAGATGCCGCTGCTTCAACGGCTGCATCTGCAGTTCCAACAACATCTACAGCTCCTGGTAACTGATAAAATTGTATTGATAAACTTCTTCTATAATTTTATCATATTTATTAACTCTTAAACAGAAAGAAAATTTTCATTGTTTTGTCGTAGTATTTCACAGTTTTTTCGCTGTTCTTTCACCTCTTTGTAATCTTTCATAGGATTGCATAATGAAATTGGTCAAAAGAAAACGAAAAAAAAAAAACACTGTTAAACTGTTAAGGAAAATTTTGCAAAATTTCAATTATTATTAAACAATTATTTATTGAATAAAATTTTTTCTATCAAATTTTAATTTTTTATCTCATAACCAACTTTTTGTACCGTAATCTGCTACTGCTTTTTTTTAATATTTTTTTTCAAAATAATTTGTGAATTTTTTATGTAAAAAACAAAAGTTTTTTTCTGTCAGAATTTTACTTTTTTTTAAAACTGATAAAGAAAATAAATGTTATGTACAACAATGCAGTTTTTTAAAGAATCGATAAGCTTTTGAAGACTGGTTGTTAGCTAGCAAACGTATAAGAGTATTCTAAAAACATACCGTATTTTTAAGGAAAGACTGGAGAATATGGTTTATCTGTTAAAAAATTATTAGAACTGGCAACATTCAAAAAAACCAGTAGCTCTTGTTGCAGATAAGACTTTGCAATAAAGAACTGTCTTGAAAAATAAAAACTTTTTTTTTTACGGTTGCAAAGAAAACACAAAAAACTTCAAAAACTTCCCAGATAGCGTTTTTGAAAAGTACAGTTTGCTGACTGTCCTTATCGTTTATAAAAAAAAGACCGAGAACCACTGTTGAAAAACAACAAAAAGTTGACTAAGATAAGTGACATTATTTTACAACTTAGACAAATAAGTCCAGAGGCAACAAAGAAAAAGCTATCAAAATAGTCAAAAGTAATAACTATCAATCTTAAAACTATTTTTGATGGCTTTGGCAAAACCACTCAGCAAAGTTTTAAGCGGGTTTTATTTGTTACAAATAATAGGACACAGTTGCCTGTACCAAAAAATTCAATAATATACACAAACATTTAACATATTAACTTATGTTAAGATTGTGCTAAAATTTACCAGACTGTGATACATTCGCCAATTTTGAAAGTTGTTGTTTTTTTTTTGTATTGGTTGTGGTATATAGTTAGCAGTGATGAAACTGCAGATAAGCGACAATAAAAGTGAAAAAGATTCTGCAAAAGTTGATTGTTTGGCTGTATTAGCCAGCAAAACTTGTTAATGTCATCGTTGTTCAGAAGCATTTTTCCGAAAAGGTATCAATAAATCAATCGATTTGTTAAATGGTATACCGTTTGTTATGTAAAACATCACAAAAGGTCTTGAAGAGGTGGAAAGGAAAACAAATAATGAAAGAATTTTGGAACTATTTAATTCTCCTAGCAGCAGATCAACAAAAAATCCCCATGTGTTGTGATTAAACCAGACAGCCTGCAGTATGAAATCAACTACTGGATTTGCTGCTCAACAAATCTTCTGTAACAGAGCACTGGTTTAATCGAAAATTTGTTGCCGTTTTCGGCTTCCTCTCAAGATTCCGTCGTTACATTTGTCAACTTAACTACAACCACTCTGAGAATTTACAATTCACAGTTCTTTCCTAAAGCGGTATTGACCATTTTGCGATACATCTGCTAATAAAATATAACTTCTTGATGACTGAGAAGCAAAAACTTAGTATCAAAATAAAATTAATATAACCCTATGCTGTTATATTAATACGTAACCAACATATGTGCAAAAAATGTTTCTGTTCAGTTTTATAAACTCTTTTTCCGCTTTTGTTTTCTTAGTTCAATTACATTTTTTGTCTTGAATTTGAAAATAGGAAAAAAAAACAACATAAAAGGAAGTGCTTTTCAAAAATAAGTTGCTTCCAAATAAAACAAAATATGATGATGATAAGAGCAGTTTTTTACTTATCTTTCTCTTTCCTAAATGATCAATAAGTAGTTTTGTTTAGCTGTTGGTGAGAGGAACCGCGAGAAGCGAAGAACGTGGAGGGATAAAATGACAAATCGTCAGGATAACGGAGGACCCGAACATATCCATGAAGGTTTCCGTTTCTTTGTCAGCACTCCGATAGACAGTGTATTGAACTTAACTGTCTTCTACGCTGATTTATTTCTCCTCTTAGAAGAACAAAAAGAAGCCGTTTCGCCACTTGTTGTTCTGTGTTAAACAAAATTTTTTGCAAGAGATCGAAGACTTAATTCAAGCGGATGGGATGACTAGACAATAAAATTTCTTCAAAAATTATCCTGGATCATTGCAATCATTTAAAATCCATTCCCCTTCTCTTGATTTAGTAAACAAACAAGCAGCGTTTTGTGGCGAAAGAGTTTTGAAATTTGTTCCCCCCTCGCCAAAAAAAAAGTTTTTACGTAGAAGTTTGTGTCTGTTAAGTAACTTAAAAATTGACTTTTTGTTCGACTATCATTGTTATAGACAGCAGTACAAAATTTTTTTTTCAGCAAAACTTTGTTACTGTTTCATAGTTATTCAATTTCCTATGGAGATTGAAGAAGTTTGTTTTAGGTAACGAAGAGGATACAACATCAACAGTGTCATTTAAGTCTGCAAATTCTAAGGGATTGTCAAGCGCCAAATCGGCGGAAAGTATCGGTTCAAATCAAGACTCACGCAGTATGGTTACAGCAATATCGGATAGCTTAAATGAAGATGAAAGATCAGAGACACCAACTGAAGGAGAGGTTGGCTGTATAACTGTTTATATGCTTTGAAGATTTGAGCTTTGTCAGCAATGAATTTAGAAAGTTTTTTGATAATTTGACGCAAACAAAAAAAAAAAAAC